CATTATTATTTACTAATGGTTCTGACTTACCAAGATTTGGGAATATGTGGTTTTACAATCTTTTTCTTGCCTGGCCTCAGAGACATATAGCTTCCACTGATGATTGGTTTGACTAAGGTATGCTCAGATCTGCCAGCAACATATATATATTCATACTCAGGTAATAAGTGTGAAAATCTGAAGCCATTCTCTTGGGGAAATAGGAGCCTGGATATACATTCAGCCTCTTGGGTGACCTATAAATGGAAGAATTAAGTGTATGATATATACCACTCCACAGAAGAGGCTTCATCTGGGATGGGGTCAGACAATAAACGAAAGTCATAAGCAAGAGAAAACACTAAATGTTGAGAACCATGAATCAAAGTACTGGGGAAAAGGAACAAGTAATAGACCTTAGGATGCATGAAATAATCCTGCTAAGCTATACTTTCTTTTTGCTACCTGGGGATATTTTTTAATGGACTTTCTATACATAAAGCAATTTTGCCTTCATCTTTATAGTACTGTTATTAGGAAGCTGAGTTGCTAAGCCCAGCGTTTGGTGGACCTGAGGTGACACCTAAGTGCTTAATTAGATGTTCCCTGGCATCAGAAATGGAGGGTCAACTCTATGCCAGGCTGTAAAAGGACAGACCATTGTATATCTAAATGAGATGTGGAAAGAAAGGAATTTAGCAACTGAATCAGTTCAGGACATTTGTATAAGATACTAAAAGCTATTCAAAAAGAGAGAACTAAAAAAAAAAAGTTGGGGACCAAATTTAGACAAGATTCACAATGGAATATCCAAAATGCTGGAGGAAAGGCAGAACCCTAATCTGGAGTAAAGTTGAATTAAAGACCAAAAAGGCAATAAAGTGTCACAGAGAGAAACAGGAGGAATAGGGCACCGGGAGCTAAGATAAAAATTTATTGAGCAATCTATTGCTGTCTTAATTGACTGTCACTGACCTAGCAGCATATCAGTAACAGGGATTTTAAGAAGGCATACTGTGGGTTCTGACAGCAGCTTATATCATAGCAAACCTCCTTCAAACCTGTACATGTTATGATACTTAGGCAAGGTCCCAAAGTTCATGAGATCTTCCATTCACATGAGAATTGCACTAACCAAATAGTATCTTACCACGTCCAGTTTATTTATACCACATAACCTCAACAGATTTTCAAAAAGTCTTAAAGGTCCCCCAGCAAAGGCTTAAATAATTTCCAACAAAGACACTGAGGGACTTAAACAAAAAGTACTTAAAACAAATGACTTTTTTTACTCCTCGTTTAGAAAAGAATGGGCTAACGTTCATTGACTTATTCGGGGAAATTTATTAAACCACCTACTATAAGCCAGGAACTGTAGATACAAAGACTAAGAGGATAGGATCTGGGCCCCAAGGGACTTACAGTGTGTGGGGAGGTAGGTACAGGCATGTAAATTAGTAAGGATAATAAAATGTTACAGGTTCTATAACAGAAGTATGTTGATGGTAAAATAGGACATAAAAAGAGTGATCAATCTACATGGGTAGGGGGATCGTAAAGTCTTTAGAGAGAACGTGACCCTTGAAAAAATAAATACAGCAAATCAGGATATGGATACGTATTACATTAAAAAATCATATACTTTATTCTTTATTATAAGAAAGTGACATCTATATAGGAATGGATAGGCTAAAAAATATATTTTTTAAATCCCTCTATTTTCAGGAATGCTCCACTAGCCTCGTTAGTAATTGGTGAAAATTTGTCATGCTACGATTCAGTCAAACATAATTTGTAATCAGCTCATTATATAAGGCAAATTAAGACAGAAGTTTTTCTTTTCTATTGTATGTGAAAATCTTATTCAAGATTTGTGTGCACATATATCAGTTTGAATATTATTGGCCATATAAATTTTTGGTAGTTATCTATGACTGTTAGAAATTCTTCCTCCTGGACACACACGGCCACCCATATTTAAAGCATTTAAGGGATAGTTATTTTGAACAAGGTTACTCGGTAGCTGATGAACTGAAAAGGCAGAGGTATAGCTATTAGAAGTAAAACTTCAGCTAGTGGTATCTAGCCAGGATTGTAATCTTCAGATGTGCACAACATGAAGGTATGTGGACCACATACTAGTTTCTCCAGCCACTCTCTCTTGCAGAAAGCACAATCTTCAGAACACCATCTTGCAAAACTGCACTTCTTACAAATAAATTCAGTTCTGGTCACTGTGATCAACCAACACTACAATTTAATCTTTGCTAGGCAGTCATTTTGGCCTCCATGCAAGTAAGCCTCATTCCTCATCGTAGGAACATGAAATAAGTACCTAGTCTATTACCAAGTCAACTCATCCAAACCTCTGAAGGCAGCCTTTGAATATCTTCATTGGAGAAGTGTTTTTATTATAAATTTCTCACAGTAGTGCTTACATCCCCCACATAGCCTCACAGAAACTCCTGTGTGTCGTCAGTGGCTTGGCTCAAGCCTTCCTCCGCCTCACTTTAATGGTCACTGCATCCTCACCTCTACTCTTCTCTCCTGGAATGTGTTGCATAAAAAATAAGTCTGGACACAGCAAGAGAGACTTTATTTCAAAGAATTATGATAAGGGAGAGGGAGTGAGTGACCATCACAATAGGTGGAGTGGACTTCTGCAATAGGGAGAGTGCTTTGACCATAAGATCTGTAAGCATGTCAAGAATTAGACACAAAGAGTTTTGTTTGTTTGTTTGTTTTAATAGGAAGATATAAACAAGGCTAGAAAGAACCTGATGTGGGGAAGTGGGATGAAAGGATGGCATAATCGGATAGATCAGAAAACTCTTTACCCGGAAGCCAGCCTATTCTCAGGAGGAGGTATTATATGCTGGCTAAAATTCAGGGACCCAGGGGGAGAGAACTTTAACCACAGTTTGGTTAATAAACATGTTTTTCCAATTGATTGATGGAGACAAGCAGTTGTGCTAATCATATGTGAGGTAAAGAATGGAAATTTAGGAAGGGGGGCGCTGTGCCTGGCCTTGTCATAGATAAACAAGGGACATATCTGTGCCTCTCATCTAAGTCATGTGGTGAAGAGCAATTTTTTTTGCAGCAAGCTGTTTCCAGAGGGTGGGGAGATTTTTTTAAACTTTGTTGTTTTTCATGATCACAGGACTCAGGTAAAGTTTAACATCGTTCACTAACATTAATCAAAGACAAGTTGACTTTGGGCCATGCTAGTAGGAAGTGCAGCTTTTAATATAATGTTGGGAGTAAGTCAAAAACCCTGCCTTTCAAGCGGCTTATACTGATGTGGGTTTCTTCGATATGCCTAATCTAGGTAAAAAGAATCATGATTCAAGCCAGATCAAAACTCAATAGGAAGACTGGGGGCTAAATAGCAAACAACAGAATGCATTTTTCTAACCCTGTCTTCTATGTCTTTATCTTCCCTGGTGATCTATGGAAACATCTAAGCCTTAGGTCATCACGTACTTTGTTTTCACAGTCATCTATTGCTTTTTACTTTGGAGACACACCTGACACAAAGTAAGCAGAAAAGAGAGAAGCTAACAGTGTTGAAGGCTCAGAAGTTAAGTCTTTGGCAGAGTTATACAGAGAATCAAAATCTCCTAAATTCCCAGATTTAAGCATTCCCAGTGAAAGAAGAAAACCAAACTGTTTTCCTATTCTATTATATTATTAACAAAGGTAAATAGCCCACTGCAGTTACAGTATGTGCCTTTGGCTCAGGAAAAAGAAGAAGATCTACTTCTTCCTCTTCCTTTTCTCTCTAAACCATAGGGGAACAGAAAGGTGGACACCTGGGTGGCTCAGTCGGTGAAATGTCTGCCTTTGGCTCAGGTCATGATCTCGGGGTCCTGGGATCAAGCCCCATGTCGGCTTCCCTGCTCAGTGGGGAGCCTGCTTCTCCCTCTCCTTCTGCCCCTCCACTCTGCTCATGCTCTCTCTCTCAAATAGATAAAATCTTAAGAAAAGAAAGAAGGAAGGAAGGAAGAAAGGAAGGAAAGAAGGAAGGAAGGAAGGAAGGAAGGAAGGAAGGAAGGAAGGAAGGAAGGAAGGAAGGAAGGAAGGAAGGAAGGAAAAGGAAAAGGAAAAGGAAAAGGAAAAGGAAAAGGAAAAGGAAAAGATAGATTGTACGTGGAGACCGTCCCTGGTATAGGCTCTCAGCACACACCCAACCTGCAGAGGAAAGCACCCTTCCCAAAGCAGTATGAATAATCAAAATAATGTTAATTTAGCTGCCATAGTTCCACACAGGACTTTCAGAACATATTTTACTACGCTGCTTCACCCAAAATAAAATCTATTATTAGCAGAAGAACAAATAGATTAATGAAAGAGAATATAATAAGGCAACATAAGTTCTAAGAACATTTAGGAAATTCACCAAAGTATTTTCTCCATTTATAATAGCTCCACAATTAAGTTATTACCATACTATCTGAGACAAGAGAACTAATACTTTTGTTGTGCCCATTCCCAAAATCTGTGCAGAAACCAAGCCAGCCTCATAATCACTAAGCTCAGCATTCCATTAGGAAAATAACACATAAAATTGAACATAGAGATGATAGAAATAAAACTTCTAAGGTGGAAACTGACTTTATTACTGCTAAATCATATGAATAATTTCTAATTGATTTGTATTGGGCCAGCATCTTATATTCCAGAACCATGTTCATCTATTTATCACAATATTCTATAATATGACATATGGAAACTAATACAATGCTTCATTAATATTTACGGTCTTTCTCTAGTTATGGCTCAGAGATATTTAACATTCTAAAACATAAGCACTGATAATTACATGTTTTACATTTTACTCTAATTTTTAATATTGCCAAGATTATTTAGTATAACTAACTTTTTAACTATGTACTCTTTTCTCTCTAACCATTAGCATATCAATCAAATTTGCATTATTCTGGCTTGCTCATTTTATTAAAAGCGATTTCAGAGCACAATTGACTTTTCATTTGTTTAACAAGTGAAGAAATATTTACCCTGACAGCCATTGCATTGTAGAGATTCATCTTCATAGCACAAGATGCGAACTGTGAATCAGGAAAAAAAGAGACGGCATATAGTTCAGTTACACAAAGACAGTGCAGCCTATTTTTACATATAAAAGATAAGAATCTTTATACATAATACATAATAAGAGTTCTGAGCTTAGAAAAATGAAATCAAACTTTGTATTGAAGAGATAGGCTTCCTAATACATAATGCAGGCTTAACCAGAAAAATCTATGGTAGTCAAACTAGGAGCTAATGGAGATATATGATCATAAAATGCTCTCCGCTGAGTTTGATAATCAATGGTGCTCTACTGAGAATAGAATAACAAAGCAGAAATATTCACAAGTGCTGGTGACACGTAGTATTGTATGATTTATTCACTGGGGTTCTTTTAGCCAAAACTCACAGTAACATAAAAGGAATTCATATTTCAAGACGTCTGGTTTAATGAAAAATTCAAAGAAATGCTGTCTTCAGTCGAAATCCTTCAAGGATATGGATGCAGTGATGGAGCAAAATTGTGCCTTCCAACCATCTGTACAAAATGTTATGTACTTAGCTGCCTCCTGAGTAATCCTTGGGAATTTTGCTTCATTTAATATTCATTTTAACACCATAAAATCATAAATACAATGATATCACGTTACAGCAAATCCCCTGATATAGTGAAGACTTCCTAAGGTCTTGGTTTCTTTCTAGTATAGATACATCTGTCTATTAATATACAAATCTCTGTTACACTACATAATCATTTAGCAACATAGCTTATTTCAAGGCAAATATTGCTTTAAATGAAGTCTCTACATCTGTTATATCTTTTAATTAAAAACATAAAATTAACATAACTCATGACAGTACAATAAATAGCAAAAGCAATGAAATATACATTTTTAATACAAAATATTACTTTATCTATTTTTACTCAATCAAAATTCATTTGACTAATATAACTTGAGCTTAGGCATTGGGTGCTGTGTTTCAGGCAAAAATCAGAGATAAGTGCCTTAACCTTTTATATAGGGGTTTTCTTCCCTGCAACAAACAGAAATTCATATAAAAGGGTTTCACTGTAATTAGGATTGTTTGAATTGCCTGGTCTGATCCAAAGCAAACTGTCTATGGAGAGCAGCAGGGCTGGATTATTTATCAACAGTCTGAGCAATTAAGAAACAGTTGGCTGCAATATGTTATTTACAAATGAACACAATGATGTGACTTCATTTTAAATTCTCTTTCTTCGTCATAGCAAGTGAAGTATAATTCTTGGCGTTTGAGGTGAATACTTTAACACCATATTTCTTCAAGTCCGATTGATGTAGATATAACCATTAAATTATTTTATACAGGAGAAACATACTAAAAACTAAGTATCTAAAATGTTTGGGTTCAGAAAGAGGCAATGTTTCTTATCTTTAATATGGTGCTGTTCAGTTAGCAGCACTGATGATGTTTGAGCTTTCAAGCCACAGACATGAGTTCAGGTCCTGATGTTGCTTTTACCAGCTGTGTGGCTTTGAACAAGTTACTTATATCCGGCCAGTCTTGACTTCCATGCTCACAAAATGCAACAGTACATATTTCATAGAGTTGGGGTGAAGATTAAAATGAGACAAAATTTTTAAGGTGCTTGGGACATAGTTGATGATTATAAAAGGGATTATCACTGCTGCTCTTACACATTTTGTAGCTAAAAGTATGTAATTTAACAATAAGTAAAATTCCGAAATGTAAGAGGTTAAATTTTATTCTGGACTCAGAGAAAAGAGAAATCTAGGTTTTAAGTGTATGGGTTCTGACTTTTATAGCTAAAAGGTGGAAAAGCACTTTGATTCCAGTATATCATTCTCATGTGAACCACTCACTGATATTAAATTCATTTGCTTTGGAAAGTAACAAACTATATTTATGTGAAAAATATTACATGATCCCACCTTCAAGAGGTACCTGAAACAGCCAAATTCACAGAGACAGAAGGTGGAATAGCAGTTACCAGGGGCTAGAGGAAGGGGGCAGCTTTTGTTAAATGGGTAGAGTCTCCATTTGAGATGAAGGAGAAATTTTGGAGAAGAGTAGTGGTGATAGTTGCATAAAAATGTAAATGTACCTAACGCCACTGAATAATAGGGTACAGTTAAAAATGGTACAGACGGTAAATTTTATGCTATGTGTATTTTACCACAATTTTCAAAACACTAAAAAAAATCATTTGTGAATGTGAATTGTTCATTTTCATAAGCTTACCTATGAAGACACATTTAGACACTTTAAAATTTTGTAAGATTTCTTTCATCTAAGACTATTTATTTCCATTCTGAGCAATGATACTACTTGTTTTATTAATATTTGTTCTTTTGGTATATGAGTAGTTAAAATATAAATCATACAAAAGCCTTTGTTCTTAATATTGTCTAGAATTCTGTCCTCAAAATTTGTTTTTTAATTCCATGGAGTTGGATAAGCAAAGAATATCCTAGCTACTAAATATTAATAGTATTTCCAACAATGACGAGCTACTGTAATTTCTCAACAGACAAAATTCTTAAAATTTTCTTACTATTTATTAATTTCCCATTTTATCATAAGATACTAAGTCTACTAAGACTAAAAATCTGGAGTGAAAGTCAAGCATGTTTGTTGAATAAACAAAGAAAGGGAAAGAGAGGGGAAAGGGGGACAGAAAGAGAGAAAGAAGGATAAACAGAACTGATATGTTGCATTTACAACAAATAGAGCAGGAAGAATTTCTGGGATGAACACTAAGTCAACCATTTGCTAGCTATATGGCCTTTGTCACACCATCCACCTCAATTTTTACAAGGCTTCTGAAATTTTTTTTGGAGGATATAGCCCTTTTAAAGACATAATTTTCTGCGTGGTTAGTATCCATGTGAATCTTCTGGACAGGGCTGCTATTCAGTGGGATTGGACCATGATTACCAATGAAAGCATGTTTCATATTTTGAGTTTCTTTCTTTTTTCTTTCTATCAGGTGAATTACAATGGGAGGGTGGTTGGGGATAAATGAGAACCACCCTCTTAGAGGTCAAGAGATAGTCAAAGCTTACCACAATCAGGTCCCAATTTTTCCCCTCAATTATCTCTTACCACTCCATTCCTTTAAAGCTCAAGCTGATCAAATTACTATTTTTATTTCTTTACCTCCATGTCCATATTACTCCCCTTGCCTCCAAATGTCTTACCATTCTTTTCCAGCTGTACAAACCTTATCTCTCCTGTTTTTCTTGCAAGCATTTATAGAAGAAACTATCTTTTCTCTCCTACTCCAAGTACTGTCAGCTGGAGGAAGCTGGCATTCTCCTAGTTCCAAAGCATACTTTCAAACAATTTCATACCAGTAAGAAGTACTCCTTTAAAAAGGACAACAACAACAACAAACCAAAAGAACAAGGAACCTTTTTAATCTCAAACTTTCCACACTTAAGACTATCCCTTTTGGTATTGTCATACTTCAGGTATCTGATTACTTACCCTCCTTCCTCCTTCCTCCTCACTTCTCCCTGACTTGCTCCAAGTATGCTCTAAAGATTCTGACATCAAGCTAATGGTCTAACTCTTCATCACAACTCCTGTCATTATCTTGAGAGTTTTCAAATTCATGTAGACAACACATTTAATTACTAAATCCATAGCCATGTTCCAGACCTTGTGAACTAGAAATGTTCCCCCTCTTAAGTCTTAAACTCTTAATGCAAATTCCTCTCCTTCAACCCCTGGTGGCTTGACTTCTCTTAAAGGTTCTTCTATCTGGTTTAGACAGATTTAATACAGATATTTCTTGTTCCCCATTTTTAAGTTCCTTCTTCACATATTTTTATATACAATGGCTACATGGTATTTTGCTACATGAACATACCATAAATGACCTAATAGTTCCTTTATTGAGTATTTATGTTGAAAACCAAAAAAAGATGAGTTTCAAGAAGGAAACAGTCATTTTCAAAAGCACACCTTAAAAAAAAGTTGTTTTTTTGTTCGTTGTTTTTTTTATCAAATGGTTCATTTTTATTCCGGTATAGTTAACATATAGCGTTCTGTTAGTTTCAGGGGTACAATATAGTGATTCAACAATTCTACACATTATTCAGTGCCTACCACAAGAGTACTCTTTAATCCCCATCACCTATTTCACCCATCCCCCACCCACCTCCCCTCTGGTAACCATCAGTTTGTTCTCTATAGTTAAGTCTGTTTCTTGGTTTCTCTCTCTCTATCTCTCTCTTTTTTTTTCTTTGCTCCTCAAAAGCAGAACACTTAAAGCAATACATATTCATAATAATTTTGAGTAATACATTTATATAAACTCAACCAGATCAGTTGGCTTTTTGTTAAGATTGAGCAGTACAAAGGAAACACTTGTATTAAAGTGATGACAATGGAACCTTTAAAAGCCATGCACATATGGATAACAGATATGATGAGCATGAAGCTTTGTTATTTTCCACATCAGTGCTATCCTCATTTCATAATTTTGAGTATAATCATTAAAATGATTTATTATCAAATAATCCTGAGTATTTTGTGCATATGCTTTGCCTTGTTTGTTGGCAAACGATACCAATCTGTTCATTATCAACAGCTGATTTTTAAAATACCCTTTCTTTTTCCACATACACACAAAATTAAAAGCCATATATATTATTTCTTACAATTATTATTAATATAATCTTTAAAAGCAGGAGAACCAAATCTAAATGCATTTCATAATTATCATGAAAATATATTAATAAAGTTTTAAATTAATACCAGTAGGTCAGAAGCTTAAGTTATCTAGCCTTTAGTATTTATCTAAACTACAAGACCCTGAAGGGAAAAAATGTTTCAGTTTTCTGCTCTGACACTAAAGGGTGATAAATGTTGTCTTCTTAACTTATAACTGATTTGGAGGTCCTTCTGTTGAAGTTTCTCTCTCCCTTTCCCTCTCCCCCTCCCCACCTCACACTCTCTAAGATAAATAAATCTTAAAAACAAAGAACAAACAAACAAGAAAGCTCCCAAAGCAGTAGGACCATTTGAG